TGAAATCAGTACCGTGGGTCCCGCGGGTCCCGATATCCCGCGGCCATCTCTAATGTCTATACATACATATGTATGTAGCCACATTAAGACGCCTCACGAAAAAAATCGCTGCTTCCCAAAGCGATCAAAAAATATTTGGTCATTTTATGCCCTACCAAAGTATTTTGGCTCAATTCGGCATCGCCCAGGCGTTGGGTCGTGTTAAAATAATAACTTTTTTAATGCAATTTTCGGTCGTTTTTTTTTAATCATTTTTCATAGAATTGAATAACTCAGCTAAATATATTTTCGGCAATTTTAATGTTCAATTCACCATGGAAAAGATATTTCCTACTGCCATCGATTTCGGGTTCCTTTGAAACATGTCAGCTCTTCACGTGGTCATTCATTCAAGTTTTTCTGATAGCTCAGTTTCTCAAAAAGCTTATATAAACTTAGATAATATGTAGAAGAATGAAAGTCTAAAGGAATTGCACTGAAGTTATTTCAGCTGTGACAAAAGAATCAAATTAATCAAATTTTCCTAAAATTTTTTATCAAATTTTAAAGCGTTTATTTCTTAATCGTTCAATAAGTTAATTGGTATTGTAGTTAGTACACGTTCTAAATATGAGCCAAATCGAACTACAAATACGGGTTTTTCTAATATCTCGACTCCTGTGCCACCTATCGGATTAACTCTTTCGTATTTCATTGTCATCGGGTTCTGAGCCCACTGTGAAGTTTTAAAGTCTATAGGTCATCGAGAAATTTGTCAAAAATTTATTGAAAAATTTGCCCCTAACACACATACATACATACCGAGTAAGTTAAATAAAAGCTTGTAATAAAAATTAGCCCATTTTTTGTAAGTACGTTTATTTGAATTTAATTTAAAATACAGAAAATTTTCCTTCAAGCATAACTTGGCTAAATGGCTGATTTATTTGCACTTTTAACCCAAATCCACATTTTTATAAAACTTGCATTTCTAATTTTGATTGAATTGCATACAAAAATGATTCATTTTTAACATTCAGAGGAAAAAGTGGGAGTTGTAGAATTAATCAAATTTATGGAAGGAAGAGCGATTGTTTTTTGATTTGATGTTTTGGGAGACAGTCTAATGAATATTGTACATATGTATGTACGAACAAATGTTTGCATATGTATGCATGTACTATGTATGTACGTAGGAGCAAAGGAAACGGAAAAAAGAGCTACTGGTATAGAGTACATGTGAATGTATGTATGTATGTACACAAAAAATAGCAGCGTTTCAGCGAAAAATACTAATTTGGTTGGCGTCCGTTTAACGTTAACTAATTGAACCTAATTTACATGCATTATCACTATCTAAACCAGCGCGTCAGCTAAGAGTCGCTAAAAGCTTAACGCCACTAGAAACTAGAACTAGTGGGCAGCAGGCTATCAACATACATATGTACTATTCAATGTGCCCACAGAAACTTAATCCATATGTACCCAACAGGCAATTTGTGTTGCCGGGAATATGAAAACGTCTCGTCCTCGGCAACAAATTTATAAACAGTCACTCTAAAAAACGTCCGTCGAAGGTAACTCGCCTGTTCGAATCGTTTTCTTATTACCTGAATGAGTCGATTTCTTATGGCTTTATTATTGTTACAGGCGATATTTGAGCAATAATTACACGGAAAAATTTTATTATTTTTAATACATATTTCATTTATTTTTGAACACAAAATTAGATTTTTTGTAGAATGCTGTTGGCGCACAATTTGTCAATTTTTTTGTAAGATATTCCTAATAATAACGTGAAAGAAACGATGTTGCCGATTTCTCAACATTGGCGATTGTTTCCTATTTCTCATGTTCTGCATGGTGGGTATAGAGGTGTGTATGTAGGTATGTATGTATGTATGCAGATAGTTTGTATACACTTTTAAGTTTCTGCTACACGTGTAGTCTTTTGTGTATCGGCTATATACATACAGTGACGAGCAAAACTGTAACATGGTTTAACACTTTTTATTTCAGGCACCTCTATATTTCCAAGTTCTAACGATATTCATACTTTTGTTGTATATTCTTATTGGTACACCTGTACTTCCTCTCTCATAAGGATTTTAAGTAAATCCAACGACAATGATAAAAGCAGCAGACAAAAATGTAAATTAAGGCACATGTTACAGTTTTGCACTCACTCTCAGTTTTGCATTTTACAGTTATCTTTTACTTAGTTGGAAGCCAGATGACTTTTTTCTGTATTGTAATTTATTGAAGAAGTGATCACCAGTAAATAATATAGTTAATCAGGAACCATAAATGTAAATAATAGATTTACTGCGGAAAGGCGAGATGGCAGGAAAAGTGGAAAAAACTGTGGAGTTTGCCACTTGAATATGTTAAGACTGAGAAAAAATATAGCCTAAAGTGTTCCTAAGCACAAAGGAAGTCTGTCAAAAAATATTACGGTACGATATCTTGTGAACTTAGCAGCAAGTAGCGATGCAGCCGCTATTACAGAAGCGCTTAAGGTATTAAACTTTAATGCAAATCAGTAGACAGCGAAGCGAAGAAGTGCCAAATTGAGCGCAAAGGCATCATAAAAGAAGAAAAAAGCTAATTTGATCAAAATACATGTGCGAGTGTGGCAGCATTTTGCTACATCGCACGAAAACCGGACCGTTCCCTATTGGGATATGTCAGGCCTTTCAGAATGCAATAAAAAATAAATTTTTAAGTTTCAGTTGAAGGTTATTTGGTCTGGCAATACTAAATTAATCGCTTTCAATCAGATGGCCGGGCATGGTATTGGATCAAAAACCCAAATTAAGCCCATGCGCATCATGTAAAGCAAACTGTGAATCACAGTGGTCGGTCAATAATAGTTTGAGGTTGTATTTCAAAAATTTTGTTGGTCCGTTAAAACGAAATATGTGTAAGGAACACTATGTGTTCATATTTCAACAAACTTTGCAAGATGTAGTCGAAAAAATGAGTTTCCGCTGAAAAATCACCCAAAACACATTGCACATGTTGGCAAAGACTGGAGACAAAAGCAAAAATTTGCTAATTTGAAATGACGTCCACAATCTGCGGACATGAATCTTAACGAGCATTTGCGAAATCAACTAAAAGCACAGCTTACTAAGTATCCAAGTCCGTCCAATGAAGTATATGGGCTGTGAAAGCAAACTAAGGATATATGGGTGGATATATCTCCAGAATTTTTACAGAGATACAAATAAGGTATGCCAAATCGCACCCAGGAACTAAAAAAAGCAAAAGGTTACTGAAAATTGTGTAAATAATTCTTTTTTTTCGTGAAAATTGTCAAAAAGTTATTAGAAGTATATAAGTGCAAAACTGTAACATGTGCCTTAATTTACATTTTTGTCTGCTGCTTTTATCATTGTTGTTGGATTTACTTCAAATCCTTATGAGAGAGGAAGTACAGGTGTACCAATAAGAATATACAACAAAAGTATGAATATCGTTAGAACTTGGAAAGATAGCGGCGACTGAAATAAAAAGTGTTACACCATGTTACAGTTTTGCTCGTCTCTGTACATAGTGCCTAAGTCTATATACAATACGTAGGCAGCAGCCTCAGCTTGACCATTAACCTGCCTTCGTTCTCCTTTCCTCATAATTGCAAACATACTTACCTACCTTCACACATACATAAGTATGTATGTGCAAACACAGCGAGGTAGGGTTTTAAATTATTTATAACGAAGCGTGACTTTTACTATTTGAATGATTCACATTTGCGACGCGTAATTTCGCACACCTTTATTGTTTTCTTTATTTATTGTCTGCGTCTTTATTACTATTTTAATGTTTCTATTTGCGTATCTTTTCTAACCTAGTAAAACTCAGAATAGCTATGTATGTATGCATTTATAGCTTTTTCAAGTGCGGAGCAACTTTACTAGTAAAAATCTGCCCTGTACTTGTCTTTATCGCATTGAGAAAACTATGTCAGACTGGAAGAAGAGTACATATCGTCGGTCCCTACGAGGAGTAGCACATTTCACTATTTGCGTGGAAGAGTAGCACATTTAGGGTTTAAACTAAATCATAAAAGCATAATTCATATTGGAAATTCAAGTGCTTATTTTGTATTTCTATAATTCTATTATGAAACTCATGAAATTCAGAGGTATATAGCGTTTAGTGATCATTTGCCGGCGATCATCCACTTTTCTTTTTTTTTTACAGGCATTTTTCCCCTTTAAGCTTTATGCAATTCATATTGTTTTATGGTTAACCATTGAAATTTTGTTTTCAGTATGTTCAATTTCAATTAAAATAAAGTTCATTTAAAAAAACCATGTAAACCCACGCTTAAAATTTTGTAGAAATCTAAAAAAAAATTAACTAATTTTCATTCAAATTTCAAATTTATTTACTCAGAAGTGTTACAATTTTTTTGAGTATGAAGCTTTATAGCCGATTCAATTTTAGTGTGATAATGTGCAAGTTTCAAGAGCCTTAAAACTTTTGATTCTTTTTGTCGCATTCGCTACCATATAACGAATAAACACAATTTATTTTTATATGGAAGAAAACCGCAACAACGGAGATTTTTAGCCAGTTGAAACTTGCACATTATTGCAATACAATTGAAAGGTCTATATGCTCAAAAAATTCTGAGAAAATAATTTTGACATTTGGATGAACATTTTTAGATTTTTTTAGTTTTCTGCAAAGTTTTAAATTTGGATTTATATGGACTTCTTCAGAGAATGAACTTTATTTTAATCAAAATTCTTAAAAATAAATAAATGAACATAAGTGGAAAACAATATCGCTATTCTAGTTTTTGTACGAATCGAAAATCACGAAATTTTCCTAGCATTTTCTATGCAAAAATTTCAAATATTCGATTCGTACGAATACACTAATTTGTAAATTTATTGTTGATTTTATTTTATTCTTCAGCCAATTTTAAAGTCGTTTGTTTTTTTTTTAATTACTTGTTTGTTAATAAATTTAAGTACAATTAATTTTTTGCTCTTTATTTTCAAAAGACTCCCGATATTCGCACATTTCTGGACATTGCTTTGCCTGCAGCATATATTAAAAAAGGAGATAGTGTTGACCAAGCTACAGCGCCTTCAACAAAACCTTCAAAGGATGAAGATATATCCAGACATTGTTTGTTTGAGGAAGAGCAACATCAGGCTGTTCTAACGCATAGCTTCTTGCCACTCGAAATCGAAGAACTACCACATGAGGCCAAGGATGTACTCAAACGCTTGCTAGAGGTGGATCCAAAACAGCGGTTGCGTTCAGTCTTGACACTGCAAAAAATCGCACTATACAAAAATTTTAAAATTGATTCGAAATATTTGCTCAATGTAAGTTGATAGTATGTAACTGTGTTTCTTTTAACGCACATATGTATGCGCAAATCTCACGAACGCGTTTTTGATCGAAAATGGCGGCACACTTATTCCATCGCGAAATTGTATTTAAATAAAAAAAACTAAGAAAGGTATCTATACCTATGTACTTGAAAACTACGGAACGAATTTGGACGAGATTTTCTCTAATATATGTATTCTTAGCGATAAGAGAGTGACCTTTTGGTATTTAACATTTCTATAGGGTTGCCACCTGTATAAAATATTGTAAGATCTGCACCGTTTCGCTGAAGTGAGATGTCAAATGAAAGGCTTGGCCGGTAGATGTTCAATAATGTATTATCTTTTAAGTAGGGTTGCCACCTTTATAAAAATTATAAGATCTTCACCGGTCGTTGGACTAAAAACTTACGTACCAAGTGAAAAGATATGGTCTCCGGATGTGCAATAAGCTTTTATTAATTTTAGTGCGGTTGCCACTTATATTAAAATTAACATCCTACATACATATGTATGGACATATAATACGTGAAGGCATTATTTGTTAATTACATCAGATTTGCACAGTTCATTCAATTAAAAAAATAGGTTTGAAAGAAAAGGGCTTGGCCTTCAGATGTGCAATAAGGTTTAATTTTTCGATGGGGGTTGCCACCTCTTTTAAAATTATGAGATCTTTGCCGCTCGTTGAATTATGAAGATGATTAAAAACTATGTGACTTAATTTTGTTAACAATATACAAAATTTAATTTAAAGAATCTATTTGTACAAATCGAATGTAATTAACAAGAAAAGCCTTGGCGTAGTATAAGTAAGGTAGTAGTTTTTAAATAGGTGACCCTACCCTACTAAAAAATAAAAGTTTATTGCACATCCAGAGACCGTTTCCTCTCACTTGGTACCTATTTTTTTAAGTGCAATGAACGGTGAAGATCTTATAACTTTTATAAAGGTGGCAACCCTACTCACAAAATAATACAATATTGAACATCTAGAGGTCAATCCCTTTCATTTTAAATCTCACTTTTTGTTATTCCACGAACAGATCTTAACATTTTTTAGATGGGTGGCAACCCTATTAAAATTGTAAGTACCAAAGGTCACTCTCCCATCGTTACAAATTATAGAAGAGAAAGTTTGGACCAAATTCGTTCAGTAGTTTCCGAGATTAGCGTGTTCAAAGAATCTCTAAACATAAAAAGAATATAAAAAACTGGAAGGGCTTTTTAAAAAGTAGCATGTAGCTCCGTTGGTTTTGGTACTAGTATTTTAAAATTTTTATTGAATCTGTGAAAAACGCAGTTTCCGAAAAAGTGTTGGTTAGGCCTTTGTGAATTAAGCTATGTATGTGTTTTTTACTCTCCTTTCAGCTCAATGATTTATGAAACTTATTTTTTAATTAACTGTGTACTCCATTTGTGAATACTTCTTTACCAACAATAATTTTATTTGCAGCTCCGTCCAATGGATCTGATAAGCCCTGAAGATATTGTTGCCTTTACACATTCCTCCGAAGACGAAAGTGACTGGGAAGAAAGACAATTTTACAAATTTTAAATCCAATAATTAAGTAATATCAGTCAAGTTTATACTTCTATTTAATACAAAAGGATTCATGTATGAATTCCTGCAGA